TCTGAACTCCTTAAAGGGGGTTGTTACAGGGTATTCTCTAGGCGACTACTATGGGGCCTAAAAAGCGGGAATACTAGGCTTTGGCTCACATTTTGGCTGTTGCCCTACATGACAGGCCAAACCCTCGATGGGAGAATCCCTTTCTAAGACCCTTAAGAATGGAGTCCTTGCTTTAGAACCCAAATCCTAAACCCGATAAACCCTTTAGACGACAATTTCGCCAGCCCGCCTAAAAACAACCACTGGCACGCGATGCGCATTGAAGTGATGAACAACCTGTTGCTGGCCTCCGAAAGGAAGGGCTTTCAGGCTATCAACAAGACTTTAGGTTTAGGATTTGGGTTTTATCTTAGAGTTTATGGGTTTTAGGCGCATGTTGGCCTGAGGAAAACTCTCTGGGTTCCTCACTAAACTCCCACATCCCTGAAAGTCATTCTGTTCATCTTTTGTGTCAGCGAGCCTTTCTTGATGTCTCCGGTGGTGAACATCACTTCCGGGACATCAATCACCTGACAGGTAGTTACGGGTGGTTACTAGGTGGTTAGCAGGGCCACTGAAGGAATGCACTTATCGGGAATTGAAGTGTCATTCCAATCTAAGTGGCTTTTAGGGCCACGGTGGGGATGCGAGCGAAAACACTCTACACTCATGAGCACACTTCCATTCCAAAAACTTTCTCTGGCAAGCTGTGGACGCGGATACTTCTTTTATTAATTGAGATGAAAGGATGATCAATATCACCCCAGCTTTCCCGAAATGCAGGCGTCACGTTCCACAGCCAACATCATTGTCAAATGTTTTTTGGCCACTCTTTGTGCCGTGTAGCTAGGGCTGAAAGAACCACTGCGGGTCCTACTCTCATTGGCAATTGTGAAGCAGCTTTAGAAAGGTTCTGAAGCATGGCCAACGGATGCCAACAGCGTCTGCTCGTTGTTATTTGAGTGCTTTCATTGAAACGTTGCCCTGCTAAACTGATGAAAGGCTTCATGACTGTGATGCTTTTGCATGCTCGCTGTTGGCTCGTCAATGTCGATGCTCAACTGCTCCCTGCTGCTAGTGGTGCATCCTGTTGTTTTTTTTCGTGCTGCTGTTGCCAATGCAGCTGGGATGCTCCACACCTGATGTCGCACTCCTTCCACTTCTCCAAAGATGCATCGATCGTCTCGCCGAGGGTCGCGGAGGCCACGCCCGCTCGAGACAGCAGCGTCTGTAGCTCATCGAAACTCTCCTGGCGGTACGGCACTGCTGCTTCTGCTACAACTGGTAGTCATTGTGATACACTCAGCATGACTCAACACTGCGAGGATGTACACGTACTTCCAGCACCAAATTTTCTGTGCTTACCTGTTCCCAACTACGTCATGTCATGTCCTACATGTGCTGTTGTTCATGCTCCTCCTCTTCTGCCTTCAGCTCATCCAGAACATATCGGATCCAGCCACGGCGACTCCACTTCGGAGTGGAGTCCTGCATGTAGCACAGGTCTGCTTGATAGGCGAAAGCAATCAGCTCGCGTTTCCGCAGCCTGAGCAAGGGCCGGATGACTGTTACACCTTGCGTCACGCTTGTAGGCAGCATGCCGTCGATGTGGATGATGTTCCCCTTCCCAAGCTCTGCCAGTCTGTTCTCATCTGCATCATCCTCATGGTGCGCTACCAGTGCCGCACCCATGTCAGCCGAAACGCCCAAGTGTGCCAAGCAGCGGGAGTACATCCGAAACCGGATCTGTTTCGACTTTTCCTCATAGCGCTCTCGTGAGATGCCAGTCTTGAGGATTCCATGAGGCCTTCGAATCTGTAGCCTGTAAGTGAGGACCTCCACTCCCAGCTTCGAGCAGGCCCAGTGTACCCAGCCTTCTTCATCCCGTGCATCTGCGCGGTTTGGGTGGCAGAGATGCAAGGCACACCTGTGTGCTTCTGCTGGAGCCCTGTAAATCCCTCCCTTTGCATGCTAGCTTCTGGGCATGATGATGGTCCCTGCGGAGCTCCAGACATGCAAAAGATAAGGAAGATCCCTTGCAACCCTAACGGCCCTGATCCTACTGGAGAGTTGAGCCCAGGTGCCATTTGAACTTCTGCTCTGGGGGCAGGCGGCGTTGCAGAAGCCAGAGTAGGCAGCATGTCACCATGCTGTCCACGCCACCGGAGAGGCTCAAAACGATTCCTAGGTCATCCCAGGTTGATCAAGCGATGAGGCTACCCCTTTCTTAGTTGGGCTGTGTGCAGAGCTTCTTTGAAAGCATGAACCTCGCGTCATTCATACGGTTCCTGCAGGAAGGAGCTCTGAGTCATGCAGGCTTCTACGACCCCTTGTCAACCGTACATCTCCCCAGCAAGCCCCTACGCTGATTCAACTGAAGCCCTGTAACAGTCCACAATGTCTCACAACAAGAGCCGATTCATACTCGCAGGATCCTTTTGCTAAGCACCACCCAGAGTAGAAAGCACACCTACAAATCGGCAAACCCGCCTAAGACCGATAAGGCAAAAAAACGCACGAGCAGCGGCCATGCAGGCACCTTCTTACAAACCATTCAGACAAAATGGGGCTTGTCAAAATGAAAGAATGCTGGGGTTCTCCGCCAAACTGAGGAGTAGCCTGGAGCAATTCCCAACCAAAACGAAGTGAAGCATTTCCGATAGGGGGTCCCACTTGGCTGCCGGGACGCCGCGATCCGCGCAGAGGTAGCCCAGATCCTGGAGACTCCTCCTCTGGGCGGATCATTTCAGGCTTTGGGGTTTTGAGTGATTCTTGCTGTCTAATATGTAGGGCTTAGGGTCGAAGACTCAGAGGTTCAGGTTTAGACTAGGTCACTTCCCTTTGGGCTTGCAGGTCTGGACTATTGAGGTCAGGATTCTGCCGCTCAGGCTAAGACATCAGGCCTTGGCCGCTTCGAGCTGCTGGGTTTCACCTGCATGTCCCTCTGCCACATACCGTAACCCGTAGACCCTAAACCTTCGATCCGCAAGTCCTAAGATTATTAAACCCTAAACCCTAAGTCCT